TATGAAATGATTTGACAAAACTATCAATATTTTGAATAGTATGCATAATATCGATACTTCTAATTACTTCTTTTTTTCCCATGACAAACAAATTATGATAATACCACTAAAATTGTTTGATTTTTACTTAAATATGTGAATTTTTTTTTTCTTTTAGAGTTGGATGACCTAAATTTACACACTAAGCAAAAGTTAATTGTTTGCTTCGCTTAGTGGTCAAGGTAGGGCTCTTAGAGTTCTCTTCAAATACCGTGTTTAGCAACTAGGGATAGAAAAGGCATGGGAAGGGGTAGAAGAGTAAAAGTAAAATAAAAATAATTGTTTGCATAAATATCGGTTGCATGCTCTACCATTATTATTTTTCATGTTACGTAAGTTGAATCTATTAGCATCTTAATGAAATTCCTCAAACATGAACTTATATGCACCGTTTCTAAAAAATTAGCCTTTGAAATTGAACTCTTTGTAGTATTTTGTGTATTATTTCTTTTTAACAATGGAATATAGATGATTAACCACATCTAAATTTTGTCCATCTAACTATTCATTTTTTGAGAATTGAAACCTCATTAGTAGAGATAATTGAGTTTTTATTTTTTGGGTTGAATCTAAATATAAAGTACAAACAACGATAATTCTATCGTCTTAAGAACACCTTGTTTTGGTATCAATAGTAAAATTTTTAAAAATTAGAAATTTTAATTAGGTTGTGATTTATAAAAGTTTTTAATGGAAATAAAAAAATTAAAATAGAATGCAAAGAAACACAATAGTTTAGAGTGTTATATTTTGTTTATTGTCTTTATAATTCAAATTCAATTAAAGTTACCGCTTTTGCCCTAACCGCTACAATCATTGCTATTATTAAAATACAATAAATCTAATTATTAGGGAGAAGGGTATTTTGGATAAATAGAACAGATCCCGCGTAGTTTCTAGTGCTTAATATTTTGTCTTCCCATCAATTATTGTTGCCTTCTAAACCAATAGATATAATGATATAATGAATTTTAATCATCATAATAAATTAAAAAGAGTACAATACGAAACTTCAACCATCAATTAGTAAGGACATAATTGGAATAACGAAAACTAAAAGCACAAGAATGCTCACGCTTGCACTCTAAAATACCAAAAGTCCGTCTACTTTTTATATAAGTAATAGGAATGAGTAATGATTATGTGGTGGACCTCTTTCTTGATGATTGTTGTTTTCCGAATCAATAAACTCAAAATTTGTCACCTTGCCTAATGATCATTACCCATAGTTAAGCATATTGCTAATTAGTAAGTAGTTTTTGTTTTTTTTTTCCTTTTAAACTATCGTCTTTGTTGACATTCCATAGAGGGAGAAAGCCAAGAGAAGGTCGGTGTATTGTATGCAGCTAAATGTAACTTTTGAACCATCAAATGAGACAGGAGGTGGTTGGTAAAACATTCCAAAACCAAAGAAAGATGACTAGTAGATACAGAGAGATGTCCGAATTGGCATAAACAATTAACAGTCGACATTCCATCTTTCCACATATACATACACATATATATATATATTTTGTAGATGCAGATAGATGTCCGATCGAGTTGGCATAAACGATTAACAGTCGACATTCCACCCTTCTATATGTGTTTTGCATGTAATACAGTTGTATCATGACAAACTCCATGAACGGCGGAATTGGAAATCTTCATATTGTGCTTTGCACCAGCTTCAAAAGTTCAACTTCCCACTCCTTCACCCCCCAAAAAAAAAAAAAGAAGGAAAAAAGGGCTCCCTTGGAATCATTCAAAGCTAGAACTTCTTCCAAATTACAGATGGAATGCTTAACTCTGGGAAATTAATCAAAGATTGATACTTGACCGAGTCCCTTCAATCATTTCATTTGCTTGGAAAAGTCAACAGAGTTTATAATACTCTTCTATTTCGCTTATTACTAGTACGCAACAATAAATAAAAGGGCCATTCTTTGCCCATGTGAATTACTAAAATTTCCAGGCTCCATTCAAACCAAATGGGGAAAAAAAAAATGCATACAATCTTGTCGGCGTTCACGTACGTTTCATATTCTCTTCGTAATCAAGATCCTTGGGAGATTTTCATTTTGGAACAACTGTATCTAATGAAAGTTCAAAGACAACTGACTCCTTCACAAAATGTGACTAGTCTCGGTAACGAAAGCTAAAGATATCAAACTTCGCATTAAACATGAGAGTGTGAGACAAATGAATGAAATTTGCCAATTTTCATGAATCAGACTTTTCAAAATTTTGGCACTCATTAGGTACAGTAGTTAATGTGTACATATCTGATAAACGTACCAAACGTTTGAAACGTACCGTTCAAAAAGAGCATGAGCTCTTGGATAAATTCTTTTCTATATAGGCATGCAAATGCAAATGGCTTTAAGGAAAAGATCAATGAGTTGATGTATAGTATACACTTGTGGTGGCATATTAAATCGAGGTTCAAAAGCAGAAATTTCTATATGATCATTCAGCAGCGCTTTAGTCTAAGTTAAAATTTTACGCATTCTATTTGAGTCGAGTTATGACATTTTTATCATTTAGAAATTCGTGTTCTGTTAAGAAATATCGATCTTGTAGTGTAAGACTTGTTTAATGAGTTATATATGTGGTTTATAAATAGGGAGTTCTATTATTCTATCAGTCGAGAAGAGTCAATGATTGGAAGTCTTGTTATTACGTGTGATTAATGATCTAATATTATTACTACTTATTCCTCTTTCTCCTACACATATCGCTGCCTTTCCATATACTCCACTACATTAGTTTTATCAAATATATCTCCTGTGATTTTTTTTTTTTGTTAATTTTTGAGTTCCTCAACCTGGGAGTTCCACAAAAAACCTTATCAACTAGTAGTTATCAGTGCGTGCAGCATGCCCTGTTACGGCTCTAATTTGATGTCTTTAGCCTTGCTTTCTTTTCATTCTTTTGAAATGCACGTACCCAGCCTTTCAAGAAATAGACAGCCACCTCCAGACCTGACCTTCAAAAGAATATCTCCCGCTAGTTTTTCAGACAGCTTTTTGGCATATCTTCTCTAACAGCGCTTTGAATATGATGTTGAGTAGCTCGTTTCCCCAATAATATAGAGGAATATGACAATAAGACGCAATTGAGATAGTAAAATAATTGACGTGTAATTGATAGGAGACAGAGTTTGAATCTTCCCATGTAATTGATAGGACAAGACAGAGTTTGAATCATCAAAAGATAAGTGTATGGAAAGATAATAGAGTACTTGAGAAAGAGTCAAATGCGACTCTTCGATTTCCTTTAGCGGTCTACCGCTCCTGGCTTAATTTATACTATCAATAACCAACAAGTTTGTTGTATGTCCCACTCACTGATCATCACTTAAATTAATTATTATTTCACAGTACTTTACATACATGATACATACATAAATGCGACTCTAAGTTAATTGAATATTTCTATCATAGAAGGGTCATCTTTGTATTCCTATTATTAAGAAAGAAAAATGGCATTAATGTGAACCAGCAGCTAACAAATCCAATCAGTGTGGAGGTTGGGGTTGCAGAGCTCTGTCGGCCAAAAACATCAAAGAATCATAATAGCTCTGACATCTTCATATTCTCCAGTTCTCCTCTGAAACCCTTCCTTCGTCCTTTCTTCTTTTTTTTTTTTGTTAAGGATTATTATCTGAGGGTGAGAGGGGCATAATCCCGTTGAGTAGCAACGAGAATACAAAGCATTGCAATGCCCAAAGAGCATAGGTTTATTAAAAGCTAAGCTAAGCCTCATTAGAGAAGCAAATAAAGAGAAGAAGAAAAATCAATGAAACTGAGAAAGGAGGGGTGGTTGAAGGCTCCCTTGACTTGACAGCATAGAGAAATAACACAACCGTGCACTCAAGGGAGTGATCAAGACCCCGCAACAACTCAGGACCCCTCTTTCTTCATATGCAATTTGGGGGGTTTTTTTTTTTTTTTTTTACCAATTTGTTTCTTGTGGGTTTTGGTTTTGGAGAATTTTCAATTTTGCGCAGCATACTCGGTGTCTACCACCAACAATAATTAATCAAACAAGTATACCATCTACACCTTTTGCTTCCCTTTTTTCAACACCAGTACAAATTAATCAACATGTTCGTGATGCAGCCTTAGAATCCAATGAGCATCGCTGGAAGGATAGGATCAATTAATTGGAATGATTACTTGTTAAGAAATAGTAGTGGTCAGTAATCAGACACAATTGTTGTACATGAAAACCATGGAAACCGTGAAAACCATGGAGTTTGTAGGTGACTGCTGAAAAATTTTTCATCTGCCATCTTTGGGGATAATTTAGGTAGGGAAAAAAAATCAAATGCAAGTGATTAAACCAAATGTGCAACATTATAGTGTATAGTCGAGTTAGATTTGGCTATTTTGTCATCCTATTTGCAATTGACTTATATTTCACGTGATTATCAAGCTTTTAAATGGTGTTTAAACCACTTACAAATGTAAATTGCAATGCTCTTCATCTTCTTTTAAACCCATTCAAGTGGTTGTGCTTAAACCACTTTTGTTGTTGGGGTATGGTGTGATCATCTGCTACAATCCCGTTTTTTTTTACTTATAAATTTGTTTCCCTTTATATGTTCGTTGATTTGGCCAATTTACTTGTAATTTCGTGCGCTTCAACCGATTCAATTAAATCAATTATCATGCAGTTCTAATTCTACTTATATATATATTTTTATAAAATTTATTTGAATAAATATTTTACTACATAGGTCAAAACTTCGCGCTTAGCCCGTGCTTCCCCCTAGCCATCCATCCATCCACCCATGTATAAATGTGCACAACTATCAATATTGTTCTATACTACATTTTTAAGTAATACGCAGGCACCAATTGGTAGAACGAAAAACGCAGGCCAGCTTATCAACATATACTACTACTTACTGTCATCAACACGCACGACTTCAAAGTTCAAACCAACCACACACAGCTTGTCAAACATCAATTCCTGGAGGAAGAAGCCGAGTCAGATTTAGCTAAGATATCCAGTTCAGCATTTCAGACTGCCTACCTATCACCTTTTTATAATACTATTCAAATGACAATACAATTGACACCCAGGATTAGGATAGTGACTTCCTCCAGGAATTGCCGTAACATCCAGTACAAATGGCGGCCCCCCACCACAAAACACCCACCAAAATTCTTGAAAACTAAAGTGCTTCCAACTACTGCTAAACAACCGGCATCAATACAATACAGCAGTAGTTAAGTTAGTGTATGCAACCTACTAACAATAATAGGTTCCAAAGGCACCTAAAATTTTACAGTCCCATGAATCCCATCCGCGCATTACGAGCGAAGCCCACTTTGTTGTCCATACTATTCTTTAGCATCATTGGTCAAAATTCAGCAAAACGAATTTCACGTTTCTCTACTTTAGTCCCCAATCCATGCCGGACCCTGCGATGCATTCAGATATTCGTTTCCACTGCATAAGAAAAACATGCAGACTTTGGACATGAGTGTGGTCCCAAGGCCTCCACGCACACACTTTTCCAGCACCACTCATTATACTTGTAACAGAGACATGCGAAAAAAAAACAGGCCTTCAGGCCTGGAAAAAGTTCTGTTGTCGGGCACAGATGCACTACTGTTTTAGACTATCTGCACCGACAATTTATCAGGCAAATTGCAGTTTCACATAAACAACGAATGACACTTAACCCACGAGTTTAAGGAGGAAAACGTTCTTCTGCTTCCTCTTGAAGAAGCAGCCATTTCTGACCTACCAAATATCAGAGTATGAAGTCCTCAAACTTAAATCAGTCAGATTGATATGGTCGCCAGCCTGCCTTCAATTACAAAATGTGACACTTTGGTTTGAGAGCAAACTACTGTCTTCTTTCGCTAATAGACTCAGCAATTTCAAGGGGCAATATATATATATATATATATATATACACACACACACACATACAAGCCTAGTAGGTGCAGAAGATTAACTGAAGTCCTTGCTAAATCGAAATAAAATCATTCGGAAGCCCACTACTGCAAAGTCCAAACCTTCTGTTAACAACAAAATAGCAAAGCAGCTTTTATCACTGAAACAGCAGCAGTGTTCCTTAAATGCTCAAGTGTTCAAATTCTTTAATCACTTTGTGGATGTATCACACTTCTTGCAATGGTTATACGGTACATTGAATATTTCTACGACAGACATAAATCAAAGTGCATTCGCTCTTTTGGTAGAATGATTTATCTAATTGTCGCGCCCCATTTTTTGAAATAAAAATTATGAGTTATAAAAAATGAATTTTTGATTAATTTTGCGTGAATTGAAAAATAAAAGAAAAAAAGGGTCTAAAATAGGACTTAAGAAGTGCGATGGTTTTGACCCAAAATAATAGTCTAAAAAGAGTTTTTAGGAAAAATAAGAGTCGCCACTTGGTATTGAGTTAAGGTGTACCAAATCATCCAAAAATATTTTGTTAACAATAAAAATAAATAAAACCCTTTTTAGACGACTCTAAAACTTTGAAAAATAAAAGAAAAGAGTTCGGGAGTCACTGTTGAAGAAAGGGAAGGCAAAAATTTGATCTAAAGCACCCTTTCAGCGTAGCCAAAACTAGTTGTGTAATTTAGTCGATAATTTTCTTAATATAATCTATTAAACACATAACACATAAGCATAATTTTTCTAGAAGCAAAACCCTAATAAAAGCGAATAAACACATAAACACATAAGCATGCAAACACACAAGCAAATAAATGCAAATAAAAGCCTAACTATTACATTCAGAACCTTAATTACAATTTAAGGGGGGAAATCTAAAAATAATAACCTAACTATTACATTTTTCTAACTAAATCTATTTTTAGCAAAAATTGAAACCTATCTATTACATAAGTTAGCTAAATACATGTCTTGAACACCTATCTATTGCAATTTGGTATTTAAATGCCTCACAAATAATCATCAAAATTAAATAACATAAATGGAACTTAACATGAATAAAAATGAATAATTAAAGAAAAAGCACTCAAAACATGCAATTACACATAAAAAATACATTGGAGCATATAAAAGAATTTAAAATAATAAAAGAGGTTTACTCCCTTGAAGTTGTAGTTAAATGGGTGAAATTTACCCTATTTGTACTCCAAAATCAACAAAATGGTCAAGACACCAATTTAATTATAAAAAACTGGAAATAATCATGAAATCTACCAATTAAAGCATTTAATGGAGCATAATTAGCAATTAAAGAAGAAAAGCAACTTATATTTAAGAAACCAAAACTATTAGGGACCTAATTATAAATATTAAGAAAGTTTTTGAGGTCAAATTACAATGATTAAAAAAATAGGGGTCAAAATCGAAGAAAAATAAAGTTTAGGGATCAAATTGCACCTAATTGAAATAAAACCAAAGTTATAAGGCCAAAGTAGAATTATACAAAAGTATAGGGACTAAAGTGAAATTTATGGCATCAGATTCTCTTAAGCTAACAGGTCATTGGGTCATTCTTTTATTTTCTTAGGCCAGAAGCACTTAGCCCAGCCAAAAGATGAAAGAAAACAAGCAGGCCAGCCCATCTTTTTATCACTCAATTCCAACCCAAAAATACATAGGCTTTGGTCTCCAAACCCAAGACAAACCCAATCAGAAATAACTATAACCCACATCTAAAAACCCAAACAATATTACCAAAACCAATTCTCTTCTATTTACCAAAACCCAACAAATTAATAAGCCAACTAAAAATTGTTAAGGTCTTATTTCATCCCAAAATCCAGAATTAATTTGTCCAACAATCTACCTAAAATATGTAAAAAAGAATTATAATTTAAAAGGGGGAAAATTGATTTATTGCAGCAGTTTTTGGGCCATAGTAAAATTAGGTGAGAGTTGGGAGGTGAAACTGTAATTTTTAAAAAGAATATGCAGCCTGGTACGAAAGAAGCTTTCTTCTTCTTCTGCAACTCTGGGTTCTTCATTACCCAGAAACCGCACGAGCCAAAATCCAAACAAACGAAATCTTATGAACTTTATTTCACAATCCCAAAGCTAAACTCAAACAGAAAAGAGCCATGACCAAGCAAATAATCTAAAAATGAGCACGGTTGAAATATGAAGCAAAACTCAGCAGCAAAATAACTCCAGATTCATGTCTAACAGGCTTGAATTTTCATGAAAGATCGTGTTAAAGCAACAAGAGGAGAAACTATGGTTACCTTAGAACCCTGGTGAAGTGAAATGGACGTGAAATGCCGCCAAGAAATCGCGCTGGTTTTGGAAACGAAACTCAGAGAGCTTTTGCCATAGGAATTTCAGCGATGGTGAACCTGGAACTTGGAACCCCGATTCAACTGATTTGAAGACGTTTTTTTGAAACAGTTTCTGAATAAAAGTTGTTTAGATCCCTCCCAAGAAAGTGCAGAAACAGAGAATCTGCTTCAAGAACTCATAAAAAGATCGGAATTTAGTGATGAAGCGGGCTGACGGCTCAACCTGGTCACCTTATTTTCCATATATTTATGTTTTTCTCTTTTCTCTCTTTTTTTCTCTTTTCCATCATTTTTCTCTGTTTTTCTTTTTTTTTTTCCGCCGCCCCTCTCAATCCCTCATCATGGCTGCGTTTTATAGCCTTTTATAGCTACACAATCCCCCCAAAACCTAGAACTAAGGAAGGAGATTGGAGCTGCATTTTTTGTGGCCATTTTAAGCCATTAGATGGCTTTTAATCCTAAATTTCTTGATGTTTTGGATCAATGCCAAGTGGCCTGGTACTGGCATGATCGAATGGAGGAAAAAAGGGGAAAAAAAACTAGTGAAAATGGATCAAAATGGATGCTGCAATTTCTGTACTGTAGCTTGCTTCTGTACTTCAGCTGGAGAAGAAGATGCGCTGTACTTCAACTGTATTTGATTTTTTCTTTTCTTTTTAGCTTTTTCCTTTCCTTTTCTTTTTCCAATTTTTCTAAAAAAAAGCGATTTTTATCAAGAAATAGAAATGAAACAAAATAAATTAAAATAAATAGAATTTAATTAAAATGAACAAAAATAGGAATAAAAATAGTAAAATTTTGATGGCTACACTAATGCTAAACAAACATCAAGTATGAAATGATTCAACATTCACAGATCAAGGACTCAAATTAAGAATTTAAGAGTTCAAGGGCTCCACATCAATTTTTAGAAAAGGTCATGGAAATCGAGGCACGTTACAATTAGAAAAAACCTTACATATGGTGCTCTTAGAAGTTAAATATTTCTAGAGCTGCTGAATACTTTTTGGCCATTGCTCATGCTAATCGAGCAAGTACTTAGAAAAGTATAGAGGGGAACGCCTACATATCAAGGCATCCAATGGGGAAATGGTTGCCCTTAGTAGGCTAGAATCGTTCCTTTCTAAACTTATTAAAAGAGTCTAGGAATCCACACAGTGTCACCAGTAGAAGGGTTTCTTTTCATATATTACTAATGTACTGCTTTTGTCTTCCTAAGTGAATGGCCTCTATCGTACTGTTTTTGCATATGCATCTGACCATTTTAATACCCACAAATCGCTTCTTGTCTAAATTTTTTCCGTTGCTTGAACACATATTTGGAGAGACCTCATCATTTAAGTTCCTCGGTCTTCAATCTGAACAGCATCCTATGGTTTATAAAGAACTGCTCCATTCTCAGATTGCTTCATGTAGGATATACCCATGTTCCACCTTCTTTCATTGATTCTCAACTCTCCTCAAGCCTCAAGGAAACAGTAACTTGGCTCTTTTACCTGAGAAATTACTGCTGCGAACAAAAAGTATTGCTATAAAATGATCCTTTGCAGTGTAATAAAAAATATGTTGTCCGGATACAAATCATAAAATGACTCCAAGGCCCTCTACCACATTTATACAGCATAAGTGTTGAATTTTAAGAAATTGCCATTCTCCTATACCATATTCCAATATAGCCAAACCACAATAAGCCCACTGCAGGTAGTGCAAGAAATCAAACCTTTTTCTCCTTCCTCCTGCCTTCGTGCATCTCTGTGCATGTAGACGCATAAACGCACATCCATACATGCAAATGCAAAGAAACCTTTTTTTTTTTTTTTTTAGTGCAAAGAAACCCAATATATGTATATTATCTCTCTCTCTCTCTCTCTCTGAGACACAAACACAAATATCAGTAGACAACAGTTGTAAGTGATCCATTCTACATGTATATAACATCTATGTCACAAACATTGAATAATCATGTACATAGGAAACATATTTGACACCATGAAGATCAAAGTAAAGTACAAATTAAACATCCGCAAAACAGTAAGACGGAGAAAATGAAATGCCCGGTAGATCATTGCTTATCCTCCAAAATCACTTTTCTCATATCCCAAGTCTTCTTCCAGGAGATGTTCCCTTCATTGAAGTGTTGCTAGCATGGGAAGTCTGAGTGACTTATACTGCACCTAATACAATGGCTTGCCACTTTTTATCTTTTCTACCATTACATAAGAATTACTCATAAAAACCATCACATTACTAAAAAGGTGATATTGCTTCCCCCACAACTTATAAGAACGCTTCTTCCCACTCTTTGCTCTTCAGTCTTTGTTTCTCTCTCTCTCTCTCTCTCTCTCTCTCTCAGAGTTAAGTGACTGTAGATGGCAAATCAAATCAAAGTTGATGAACTCTGTGCCTAGTTATGAAAAAAAGGCCTTAGTACCATAGGGCAAGCAGGACATGCTAAGGATACATTAGAAATCAAAGAGAAGCAATAATAAAACAAAACAAGGATCCTAATTATCTGCAGAAAAGTGTACAAGGAAATGTCAACCTTGTTTAGCTGATGCAGAAGCTCCATACGCCTGCTTCGTCCTTTTACATGTTCTCAGTTCTGGAGGAGCCTGCTAGTGCCTTAGTACTGCAAATTAGATGTATGGCTCTAAAGTATAAGATTTTCAAAATGAAAAACTCTACAGAAAGCAAAATGTTAAATTTCTAAACTTCATAGGACTTAAAAACCCCAATCCCTGATTCTACATCAGTGTATATGGAACCGGTTCTAATTGGATTGCAGAGATGATCAAGCATGATTGCACAACTTCTCTTAAATTGAACTATTTGCAATAGAAACATCATGCCCTACAAGCAGCCATATAAATTTTAGTACCAACAAAGCTCAAGCATGTACTTTTTTGTTGGTAACCATCCATATACTTGTAAAGTATAATCAGTGCATAAGCCCATACATGACTACAGTCCTATCCTTGGAAGCACATGCTGTTATTACCATTACCTGTTGTCATCGTCCTAATCACTGATGTTGCTCTCAGCAATCATTGACTTGCAACTCTGCACAGCAACACCAATGCTGCCATTTGGTCTTCAATCTTTCCTGTTCCAGTAACGTGGTTGACAACGGGGGTCATGCAATCTTTGACATTTGTTCTGTCCATTCATCTCCCTTTTCTTTTCTTTTGCCTCCTTTAGCAGCATTGGCTGATCGCTTCCTGCGCTGCATAACACTATCTGGCATCGGTCTACCTCTTCTCATCACAGTATTCATGAGTTTGATGTACTTGTACCTCATTTTCATCAATGGATGCTTTTCAATCAAGAAATTCTTCCTATATGCCTCCCTTAAAACCACAGTTTGTGTACTAATCTTGTTGGACACATAAAAGATCCCTGGATAACGTACTAAAGCCATCTTAAACCTTAAGCCGAACACTAAATAATCCCCCAGAAGATACACATTGTCCCTCTCCATCTTCTTTGACACCATTAAAGAAAGCAACTCATGAATCACCCCTACCGCCCATTTCTCTGCCTGATCACTATTTGGAGCCAAATGAAAAGCATCCTCATAAGGCGAAATGTAGGGCAAATTCTGCCATTCCTCAACCCAGTCCTTCACCCTCTTCTCCAAATCAAAACCCCTTGGAAAATTCATCGAAAACTGTAACTTACTTCCCATTATACCCTCATTTCTAGCCAACTTTTCCACCAATGACGCCGCCAAATCCTCCCTCCACCTCACCAGTTCCAACCCAAACGCCTCGTACCCATTAAAATCCTTAAAACCCATCTCACAAATACTAAAATAATCAGGAAAATCAGGCAAGAAGCTTAATTTATAATCATGGGGCAATCCCAAATCAAACTGAAACTTGTCAATCACATAAAAAGGGAGTCTTTTAGCTCTTGTCAGCATCAAAAGCTTCGCAAGCCTTTCTGCAACATCTTTCTTATAATGCGAGAGGTTCAAGATTAGGGTTTCATCGTTGTGAAGAGATATGGCTTTAGAGGTGAGCTTAACATGAGGATGGGACGCGATCATGGGCCTCTTGGTCGGGGGATTGAATATTTTGAAAATTAAGGGGTAATTTTCGGCGAATTTTGAGGCGGTGGTGGGGAGATTGAGGTGGGTTTTTAGCGGGGAGATGGAGGAGAGGGGTAAGGTTTCGGAGGGTTGAGACATGATTAGATTTTTGAGTGAGAGCAAGGGTTTAAGATTTTTCTCATTCTCAACGGCTTTGTCGAGGTAGGGGTCGCGTACCCATTTCACTTTGGCATTTATAAAAGTGCGAATTTGGTGGTGGAGGCACTGGTGGCGGCGGCGGATACGGAGGAGGAGGGGGAGGACGGCCATGATTTGCAGAGGGGGGCTCCGTTAGGCTGATCGCTAACATCGGAAGAATGAAAACGCTACTGGTATCGACCATTCAGCCTACGCCTTCTGAGGTTACGCACCTGAAGGCGTGATAGATTTAAAATACCACTTGGCAGTGACATATTGGAGTTCGTTTGGATTGAAGCTGGTAAAAAAAAGGAATTTATTTACTAAAATGTACTACTCCCTCCGTCCTGTTTTGTTAATCTTAATTTTTTTTTTCACACAGATTAAGAAAGTGTAATTAATTTGGTTGGAAATATAAATTTATATTAATAATTTCTTAAAATACCCTTATGCTAATCACGAAGAGTGCCAATTAATAAATATCAGTTACAGCTAATGGGTTAGTATTGGAAAAGCTCAATGTATTCAATGTAGTGGGTTAGTATTTAATAACAATGTATTAATAACAAGATATTTAATAAGGGTATTTTAGACAATTTGAAAGATTACTATATTTCTTAATGGGAAAGTGGATTACAATTTGGGACAGACGAAAAAGGAAAACAAGACTATCAAAGTGGGACGGAGGGAGTAATATTTCTATCAATGGACCAGGGGTAGGTGCAACCGTTTTTTAAGATTATATGCATTTTATACACGACGTAACTCTATTTGTATATGGTGTAACTTACGTTTAATAACGTGTAATTTTAGAACAAAATTTTATAGATCCCACACATATTATTAAAATCGAGATACAAGATAAGTTCTGGATCGTATAAATTTTTTTTTTTTACCAAATCTTAGCTGTGAACTGCTCAAGGACGATCTGCCTGATGACTGTTCCTACCCCAAATTCTTCTATCAATATATTTTTTTTGGGGCAAGTAACTAATATTTCTATCAATATACTAGCTTTATTTGGATTGACTGTTTTTTGGGGTGCTTTTGAAATATTTTATTATAGTAATATAGGTGAAAAACTTTTACTGTAAATGATTTTTAGGTTTTTTTTTGTGTTTTTAAGATTGTTTTTTTTTTGTGTATTTGATATTTTTAAGATTATTTTTATTTATATATTACTATAATATTGTATATGAAAATTTTATTTTTCAAAAGATAATCAATCCAAACAAAGATTTGTACTAATATTCCTTCCTAAACTACAAGTCAGTCAATACACACACTGACACACCGACTTCTAACTTCTTCTTACCAAAAAAACTACTCTTATTAGAAGTAGGGACCACCAACACAACAATGCGGAAACTGAAACTCCGAAGAGGAATTTACAGCCCACACGCACGCATAAAACATTTTCCTTTCTTATTTGCATTTCCACGCGGGGACTGTGGCCAACACATTTCAGCTTTTTGAACATCTCAACGCTCAATCACCCTTTTTTGTTTTGGCCTTTCCAAGAAGAAGAAGAAGATCGCCATGATGGATTGCTTTTCCAGCTCCTTTGAATCGGTTCCGTCGTACGGGCCGCTGCTTAAAGCTGCCTTCAGCATTCCGATCTCCCACTATTTCTTCGGAGCTTTCTTCATTTTTCTCCTCTGTTTCTGCCATTTTCTTGAAATCCATTTTTTCCGGGATTTACTCACTGGATTCGCTGGGCAACCCGTGTCCTTGACCTTCCATTCTTCTTCTCCCGTCTACCACTTCGTCGCTTCCAAATGTAAAATTCTCCATTCCAGGTATTCGGCTGTTACATTTTCATCACTTTTTTAGTTGTTCTTCTTAAATGGGGTGGATTTGTTTGTTCTTAATTTCCCCCACTTTTTGGTGTCCATTTTCCCTCCTTTTTTCTTTTGGGGAGTTTGGCAGATATTTGTCGACACCTTGGCTTTGCAGTCCTCACCTGCAGACTGCTTTCTTAACCTTCTTTGGAAGGCCTCCTGCTTATAACTACACAAGGTGATTCTTTTTTCTTTTCATTGAATTTCTCTTCTTTATGAAACAAGTACTAGTGTTAACAGTTTGACTTGGCATGTTTCCTCGATAAAGATGCAAGTTTTATATGTTTGATTAGCAGGCGGTTTTCATCTTTATTTTCTTTTTCATTTCTCTGTTACTTTTATTTCCTTCTTTACATGGTTTATTATGCTTTAATGGGACGGTTGCAATCGATGCATTTGCATGCAATTAAAGCCTAATCATTTGTCTGCGTTACCTATGAAATAGTAGTTGTTTTACTTATTTTCCTGGTGAATAATGCATCTCCCTGTATCCAGAGAGCTGTTTAAGTTGGCTGATGGTGGGACGATAGCTTTGGACTGGTTGATGCATACTGATGGTAAACACCTCCTTCCTGCATCGTTCTTGGACTGCCTTTCACTTGAAATGGTATCATTCTCGTTGCTACCCATTCATTCATATTCTCACCATCCAAACCTCATTCTAGAGAGCTTAATGATATTATGTTCTAAATGGGTAAAAAGTTTGTATTAGCCATGAGTTGATTTTCTAGAAATTACTGGCAAAATTGAGCTGTGTTTTCTAGTAAATCTGAAGGACTCACGTTGGAGGTAATCCAAAAAATTACTTTCGTATATCTTAATTAACAACTATTTTTTAGGCTCCCTGATCACAAATCTAAAAACAATAAAAGGAAAAAAAAATCACATTGAGATACTTAGTTCTTAGCTTCTTCTGAACTCTATGGCCTTACTGTGTTTTCTTGTCATTTGGTATTTCCAAATAAGCAAAGAAGAAGGAAACAAAACCACAGTGTAGCTAACAACTAGGATTCGTTGCAAATTTTTGGGCCATTGGAAGCAGGGCTGGACGTTCTTTTGGGGTATTAACCCAGGAAGTAGAAAGCCAAATTCATTAAAATTCTTCGAACTGTTTATGTTGAAGTGTAACTTTTCTGGAAGATCAGTAGTTAACTTTAATTGCGTTTTGAGATTTGAAAGATTGGAAAGTTCTAGTTTTTAATATTTTCAAAAACATGAGCTAGAGGTGGTTATAAACCTCCTTCAGACAACACCTAAGAACCATTACCAAATGCTGCCAAGTAAATTAAGGTGCTAACATATATCAAACAGTTCTTGTTAGTTATGTTGGCATTTGAAATTTTGTGGCTGGTTCGCATGAATTCCTTTGTTTAAAATGCGGACTTCTGATAACCTTGCTAGCTGGATCTCCTAGTATTTTAGTGAAAGTATCTTTTTTTTTCTTTTTGAAAAGATGTAGTTTCCTTCCTTGTCTTAAATTAGCAGCTCTTTTGGCGCTGATTGTATTATTGATTGAGAGACAAAGGTTCCTTAACTTTTTCTATTCTGGCTGAAGTAATGAAACCAGGTGTTCAAGAAAATGGTGCAATTATCCCTGATGGAAAAGTTCCTATCATGATAGTCATTCCTGGCTTGACTAGTGACTCCGATGCTGCTGTAAGCTTGCTTGGCTCTTCCTTCTGGACTATTTGCCTGCTGTCATCTTTTTCTCACATTTCTTACGGCTTTTCCTTGTTTTTCCTTGTGTAAGAGTTGTTTCTCCTCATTTTACATCATTTAAAAGTAGAGCCATGTAACTTTATCAGCTCATCCTTAGAGATTTGGCATATCTTTGCTTTGGGATCTGACAAGGAGGTTCTAATAATCTGGCAGTGCTGATCTTATTGTTATTTGCCATTTGGTAAATGTAGATGAAAAGAACAACACTCTTGTGGCATTACATAATTGCTGACTGAACCTCAGTTTATGGGCTAGTCGACATTAACCTGTTTTGCAAATTGCTTGCTTGTTTTGTCTCTTTCTAAACTCGCTTCTGCCTTAACATATATATTCAACAGTATGTGAGGCACTTGACTTTCAAGATGGCAAAATGCGGATGGAATGTAGTTGTGAGCAATCATCGGGGGCTTGGGGGAGTTTCATTAACTGTAAGTGCTTGTTACATTGACCCATGCGCTTAATTCCTTTTAATTGAGATACTGAACTCTGTTGGATATTTGACATCCTTTCTCAAGATGCTAGTGTGCAAAAGAGCTGGATTTTGAATTTTTATCATTATGATGGTTAAAAAAAATGAAAGCCTTTTGTATCCTCAAGTGGAGGATATTTGCTTTTTTTTCACACATTATATCTATGATAGGGACAAATTTTAGGATTAATTTAGGTCAAAGATCAACTGTATAGAGTCAGAGTATTCATTAAATTTACTTGTTTTTTCTGCCACCTGGACTTAATTTTTCTCCCTTATGCATAAATGCATAGTTGTGCTCAAGCGACGTCATGTAGAGGAATAATGTCTTTGTTTATGAACTTTAGAAATTATAAGAGTAGAGGTAGAGTGCCATTTATGAGTAGAAACTTTGAACTCTATTACCTTTTAACTCATTGCCATTCTCCTTGAACATTATCAGAATCTCTTCCTTTGATCCTAAGGGCCTGTTCAATGCTTCAGCTTTTTAATTCAAACGATAGAGAAGTAATTATTATAGAAAACTTTTTAACAGATAAATCATTTCTCCATTTAAAACATTTTGTAAACCCAAAAGTTTCTTTTCCAAAAGCAACTCAATGCCAACATTTCATAATCAGCTTTTGATTAACTTAATATAAGCTAAAAGCAGAAGTCAAGAAAAATTGAGAGCATCTTAGAAGACCCTTTTTAGTTGAAAAGCAGGCTACAAGTAGCTGATCTAAAGCAATCATTGTCAAGGCCTTGAAAAAAGTAGAAGAGCAGCATGGACATATATGTTAGCATGCATAACCATTTTGTTTTTCTACTGGGGTGTTGCTTGAGCTTCCAAATGTGTCAGAACGAAGTATTTTTCTCATTTCATTTTCTTGAGCTTTTATTGATGAATCCCCCATGTATTGATATGGCAGTCCGATTGCTTCTATAATGCTGGATGGACACAAGATATTCGCAAAGTCATCGAACATATTCACTGTCAACACCCTGAAGCTCCTCTTTTCACTGTTGGAACTAGCATTGGGGCTAATATACTGGTATAATCTCAACTTCTGTCTTAGTTTTTCAAGACAAGGAATCTGATGCCAAAGAAGTGTTCAATATAATGCGATAGTGTTCTGTAGCAGAACTTTGTGTTAGTGTCATCCCTTGAACTCCTTCTATTGCTTTTTTGTCATGAGGTTCATATCTTTTCAGGTAAAGTATCTTGGTGAAGAAGGGCTTAAAACTCC